ATATATATATATATAACAACAACATAAACATTTGTATATACAAACAACAGGAGATGGCTCTCCTCTTTATAACAAACACAACCCATGCAGAAGCTAAACAACAAAATAAATAAAATAAATAAAATAAAATAAAATAAATAAAATAAAATAAATAAAATAAAAATAAAATAGAATGAAGACAGAGATAATATAAACAGAATAAATAAGAAAATAAATGAAATAAAATGGAGAACAGATAGAGATAAAACAAACAGAAAAATAAAATAAAAAAAATAAATAAATAAATAAATAAAAAAAAAATAAATAAATAAAAAATAAATAAATAAATAGAATATTAGATCAGTAGATGGGTATTATAGAGCAGTTATAATATTATTTTACTTTTTTTATAAATAGTATAATAAAAACACAAAAAAAAAAATAAAAAAATAAATACACGCAACAAAGAGAAGAAATAAAAAACTAAACAAAAAAACAGACAGATGCAAAAAAAATAAAATTATTTTTTTATTTATTAATAAAATAAAAAACAAATAAAACGAAACGATGAGGCAAACAAAATAAAATAAAATAAAATAAAATAAATAAAAGAAATAAAATTAAAAAAATAAAAAAATGAGAGACAAACAGAAAAATAACAAAGGCGAGGGGCTGCCTCTATGCTGCTACATCAGTGACGCATGCTGCTGCTGCTGCAGCAGCAGCAGCAGCAGCAACAACAACAACAGCAGCAGCATGAACAGCAGCAGCATGGAAAGCAGCACCAGCAGCAGTAGCAGCAGCAGCAGTAGCAGCACGGACAGCAGCAGTAGCAGCACCAGCAGCAGCATGAACAGCAGCAGCAGCAGTAGCAGCAGCAGCAGTAGCAGTAGCAGTAGCAGCAGCAGCAGCAGCAGCAGCAGCGGTAGCAAAGGAATTATAAATCGTAATAAGTTAAAATAGATTAGAGGTGCAGCAGCCCCTGCTGTTGCAGCCTAGCGAGCAGTTGCTGCTGCAGCCGCTGCAGCAGCAGCAGTTTGCTGCTGCTGTGCTGCTGCTGCTGCATGCACCACTGCTGCTGCTCAGCAGCAGACCGAGAAGAGACCTCAACAATAACGTCATAGTCTCTCTCATCTACATCTAGGGGGGGAACCAGCGGCCTTTCTGCTGCTGCTGCTGCTGCTGCTGCTGCTGCTGCTGCTGGTGTTGCTGCTGCTGCTGCTGGGTCTTGTGCAGCAGCAGCAGCAGCAGCAGCAGCAGCTTTTTGGTACTGCAGCATTGCTTCTTTGATGATATCTTTAATAGCTTCAGCAGCAGCAGCAGCAGCAAACCCTGTTTGTGGTGTATCTACAGGCAGCTGCAGCAGCAGCAGCACGAAAGCAGCAGCAGCATCCTCAATGGTTTGGTTTTTTATATGCAGCCACAGCTGCTGCTGCAGCAGCAGCGGGATGCTGCCGCCCCCAGCGCATCTCACTCTATAGTAAACATCTCTTAGTACGCTTTGCTGCTGCCGTATTGCTGCAGCATAAGCAGCAGCAGGAGCAGCAGAAGAAGACCAATCTGCTGCTGTGTCTGTTGCTGCTCGCTGCATAGCAGCA